ATATATATATATATATATATTATATTATAATTATATATTAATATATAAAAATAAATAATATTATAATAAGTAATTATTATATTACACATAATAAATAATTAAATATATATATATAATGTTTCCTGGGTTAAAATATATAATTTTCTATTATTTCATATTTTAATTGATCTAGTATAGTTATTTCACGAATTAACGAATTTCCATGTTTCAACACTTTGTAAATAAAATGTATTTATTTATTTATTTAATTAATTTTGTATTTTTCCACAGGCGATGGTACTATACAACCGGAAAATTGCAACAACGAGATAGATCATTTTCTTTGTAAAAATCAACGATGCATATCATTGACTCTAACGTGCAATCAAAAAGATGATTGCGGTGATAATTCAGATGAAGACAATGATTCGTGCGATATATGTAAGTCTAATATGATAAAAGAAGTTTAGCAAAATGAACGAGCTTATCTGTAAATTTGAAACTTAAGCTTATTTTAATCTTAATTTTAATTTTATATGTTTATTGTTTATACATTCATTTCTATCTCTGTTTGACTATATAAATAATTATTTATTGTATTGATCATATTTATATATAAACACATTTTATAGAAAATTTATTTAAAAGATACATATTTTTCTTTTCTCTCTTTCTCTCTCTCTCTCTCTCTCTCTCTCTCTATCTCTCTCAATTTCTAACATTTAAGTTAAAGATTATTTATATTTGTTTTTAATAAATTATTCAAGTTATGTCGAACGATTCTTCCTTTTGTTTTCTTTTAATTTCTTTCTTAACATACAATATTTCGTTTATTGATTGATTTTATTTAATTAATTAGCTATTGAACAATTATTTATTATTTGTAGATAAAGAGTTTTGTTCGAAAACTCATGAATGTGAACACAATTGTAGAGCAACGCCACATGGTCCTTTTTGTTCTTGTTGGACAGGTTACAAGTTAGTAAATGATACTATCTGCGAAGGTAAATTTATTAATAATAATAATAATAATAATAATAATAATAATAATAATAATAATAATAATACACTATTTTTTATATGATAAAAGAAAATTAATGAATTCATCGATATGATTGTTTTAGATATAAACGAATGTGAATTATTTGGAAGTTGTTCTCAACATTGTATGAATAATGCCGGATCTTACACTTGTTCTTGCGATCTGGGCTACGAATTACAGGAAGATAAAAGAAGTTGCAAAGCCAAAGGTAAATTTAATGATTGGTTTTTATAAACAAGTGTTTCCGCATTATCACTTGCCATTTTTGATCGTGTTTTTACAAAAATCTCTGCGTTAACTACCTAACATTTCAATTTTAATATAATTTTTATTTATTTTATGTATATAGGATGGTAAAAAATAGGTTCAACAATATTTAAAGGGCTTGTAGTATCAAAAAGAAGTAAAAAATGTAACTCTAATTAACACTGGTCCTAAAATCAATCCTTTCAATGTAAATTAACTTTTATTATTTATATTATAAACGAATCTTTTGATAACGTTTTAAATCTACGTAAAGGAATTTGTTTAGAAATATATTAGTTTAAGGTTGTCAAGTTAAGTTTATTATGAAAATAAAAGTATAAATTATTTTAATATCAACAAAGAATACATCATAGATATAAACGTAATACAAATCATAGATATTTGATTTGTCTTTCTTCCATTTGGATAAAATTTCTAGCATTTGTGGATAATTATGGAAATAAATCATAGATTATTTTATTTAATAATTACTATATGCTCTTAAAATATTGGATTCCTTTTTATTATCAGCCTATATATATTAATAAAATTTAGAAATTAATTATTTAGTAAATACTATATCATTTTGTGTATAATAATCTAATATAATCTGTATAGTAATCTAAATTGAATACACGTGTATTTCTTAATATAAAAATAATTGTATTATAATTATACTAAACTTGAAATTAGTCAACTTTGAACATATTACATTGAAACGTATCACAGAGTTAATAGTTTTATAAATTAATTATATTTACTAAATTAATTATTTAGTAAATAATATTTCATTTTATGTATAATAAGATTTAAATTGAATACACGTGTATTCCTTAATATAAAAATAATTGTATTATAATTATACTAAACTTGAAATTAGTCAACTTTGAATATATCACATTGAAACGTATCACAGTTATCAGTTTATAAAAATGAATTTAATTCAGAAAAAGAATTTATTGAAAAATTCAAAGTTTTTATTTCAATTCAAATCCAAGTGGTTGTGAAAAATTTATTTAAAATTTTTAAAAATTTCTTTCTTAATAAAAGAGAATACAAAATGGTGTGGTAACGGTAATGGATGTTATAATTAACTGAATAAAACACTGTAACGATAACATATATATATATATATATATATTGCAATTTTAAATGGAAAGTTTATCGAAACATAATAATTATTAGTTTTGTAATTGTAAGCCGGTACTTGGCATTCAACATGTAAAAATATATCATACTAAATTAACAAAATCATATTATTATTTAATGCATCGATATGATTAAAATTGTATCGTTCTTTCTCAACATTTAATTTCTCACTTGATATATGTTCATGATATTGCAAATAACTTTCATCATTACATATGATCCATATCAAAACCTGAAATTATTTTCATTTAATTAAAATGTTTCTTTTATTTTTATAGATTTCGAAGCACTAATGGTCTTGGCCTCAAAGACAGAGATTCGTGGATATAATTTAGAGTCAAAATTCTATTATATGATACATAAAAATTTGAAACAAGCTGTCGGAGTTGCTATTGATTCTGAGTATATTTATTGGACCGATATTTATCATGGTGAATCAGCTATATTTAGAAGCGATCAGCTTGGATATAATAAAACGGTAATCGTTACCGCAGGTAATTCAACAAAAAATACGTTTTTATTAATAAAATACAGTAAGACCTCGCTTAACGCGGGAGATACGTTCCAATAAGTTCCAGCGTTAAACGAGGCTATGCTTATGCTTATGTTAAGCTCTGTTTCATTTGCACACATATTCAACAAGTATCAATTCAGTGTGCAATTTAGGGGAACCCCAATACTACCGTGTAATACTGAAACAGCGTTAAACGGGGTCTTACTGTATACTAAATAAATGTACAAATCAAATATTTACAATATTCAAAATAAGTGTAGCATAGTTGTAAAGTTGTATATATATATATCGATTTGATTCAAATTTAGGAGTGGGTGTACCAGAAGATGTAGCAGCCGATTGGATAACTGGAAATATATATTTCACTGACAGTTCATATCAACACATCGCTGTATGCAATAAAGATGGAGCATATTGTACAGCATTAATACACAAAAATATTGATAAACCAAGATCCATAGTTCTTTCACCTAAATTAGGGTAATATTTTTGAAATTAAACAAAGCTTTTTAATAATATTTTTCATATATATATATTATAGACAATCTGTTAATATTGTAATTTTTCAGTCTTATGTATTGGTCCAATTATGATTTCAATCCGCATATAGCAATGGCATCAATGGATGGACAAAATCATGTTAAATTTGTCAAAGATAATATTGAATGGCCAGGTGGTTTGGCAATCGATGATCCAAATGGTAGATTATATTGGATTGATTCAAAACTGCATAAAATTGAATCGATACGTTTGGATGGTAGAGATAGGAGAGTTAGTATTTTATTTAATTAAATCAATCGCATAAAAATGATTCAATTAACATGTTAACCGTTAAGTATTTCTACATAGTGTATCTAAAAAGTTCGGTGAATGGTCTCAGGAAATAAAGAAAACAAGAGTTACAAACAAAATACCTTTATTGGCCTTCAAAGTAATCACCATTAGCTACAATGCACTTCTGACATCGGTTGTACAGCTGTTGGAAACTGTTAGCAAACGCTTCTTGTGGAATCGTTCGAAGCACTGCGATCAAGCTCACGAATTCCAAAACTGTTGCGAAGCGTAAGCCTTTCAGGGCTAATTAAGGCGGGAAACAGAAAGAAGTATGCCGGCGCCAAATCTGGAGAATAAGGAGGGTGTGGAAGCACAATGACCTTGCGTCTAGCGAGAAAGTTGAGCATTTTGCTCCATTTTGCGCTCCATGTTGCAATGACACGAGTTCTCACACTGATCCTGTTAGTTGGGTCGCAGCGTTTACCACCGCTTCACTACAGTGCTTTGCACGATAGGAAACGTTTGTTGACATGTCCTTTAATGGGTATGCGCGGGCACCTCATCCTTGTTAACGCGGTTTGTAAAATATGAGACCATTCACCGAACTTTTTAGACACACCATGTATTTAATCCACAATGATCTGTCAGCCATACAAAGACATTTAAAAAATATTGGTAATTAGTGACTGATGTTACCTGAACGGAAATTCTAAGGACCGGCATGGCATTTAACATTTTAAATGAATCTACATTAATTATTATATTATCTATTCATAATGAATGTAATTTATAATATATTTGTATTTGTGATATTTCAGACAATATTGGTTGATATGATCGAAAATCCATTTTCTGTAGCAATATATGAAAACATGTTATATTGGAGTGACAGGAATTCAAAGAGCGTAATGGCTTGTAATAAATTCACTGGAAAAAATCAGGAAACTTTAATTCGTTCTGATAGTATAACTTATGGGATTCATATTTATCATTCCGTTCTCAAACCAAAAGTATATCAAATTTATTTCTTTACTTCTTTGTTCATTTTTATAGAAATAGTATGATAATTTTAATTTTGTTTTATTCAGATTTTAAATCCGTGTAAAGATAATCCTTGCTCGCAAATTTGTTTATTAAATTCAAACAATAATTATACTTGTGCTTGTTCATTGGATTCACGTCTTGCTGCTGATAATCATTCTTGTAGAGGTACATTATTAAAAATGATTGATTTTTTTTTTCTCTTTTTGAATTAATATTTTTTACTCTTTTTTTTTCAGTCATTAAAAAGAAAGAACATCTCGTCTTAGCAAGTGAAAATATTTTTATAGATTATTATCATGAATTACTGGGTAAACCAAAAATGAGCATGACTAAAACAGTAAACTATGTAACCGTTATGGCATATGATCATATAAAAGGTAAATTATAAAAGTTATATTTATCGACATTAATGAAATGAACATTTGATTATTTAATTTAGGTGATATTCTTATCTATGATCAATTAACGCAAACCGTTTATCGTTACAACATGAATAAGAATCTATTTGAAAAAATAATGTCTGTAAAAAACGAAATATTTGGTGGCATGGATTTTGACTATGTTGGTAATAATTTATATTGGTCTGATATGGAACAAAAAACTATCGAAGTTCATAGTTTTGGAACAAAAGAAAAAACTGTCTTTTACTATCAAAATGAACCACAAGATATTTCTTTAGATTCTGATGAAGGGTAATACACATCTTTCACGTTATCTTTTTTTTTTTTTTTAAATATAATATTAAAATAAGCAATTAATTAATATAATAATATTCTTTTATATAATAATATATTGTATATAATATATAATAATATATTAATATATTAATTTAATAAATTAATATAATAATATTCTTTTTATTTGCTTATCTAAAATAACAGAATTTGGCAGTATTCGGTTTTACAAATTTTTATGAAAATTATATGTGCCATATTCAACTAAATATTTTATCCAATTATCGCTCATCATGAAAGTATTAACAAATTAAGCTAAATTATTATATAAATTGAAATTTCAAATTTTAATTCTGCAAATTTGAAAGAAAAAAATGTATATTTCAGAACGATGTATGTAGTGTTTCATTTTAACAACACATACCGTATACTTCAATTACAAATGAATGGATTGGGTGCACACGTAACATTAGTGGATGAAGGATTAGCTGGTAAAAAAATTTCTTTGTGTTATGATAATACAACGAATAAATTGTTTTGGGCTGATCAAGGTTATGGTAAAATTGAGAGTATTTCTAAAGGAGGTGAATGAAAGAAAAAATTAATAATAATAATAATGATATATATTCAATTAGAACAAAAAAAATGAATTTGAATTATTTTTATTTTGAAAGGAAAACATAGAAGTATTCACAGATCTGGTTTATCGGAACCAATGAGTCTTGCGATACTTGGAAAGAATATTTTTTGGACCGAACGATTATCTAATCATTTATTTTGGAGTCACAAAACGAAAGGTTTACAATTTTTGAAAAAAATACCTTTGGGTTAGTATCGAATACATAATTTATATTTAGGATAATTCTTGAAACTGAAATAGTTTACTCTGTTCCTTATCAAATAAAAAAAATATAATAAAACAAAAAATGATACATCCTAATTTGTTATATGACATTATTTTTCATCGTATAAAAAAATAAGTGTCGTAAGAAATTGAAACGTATTATGCCGTATGATTGTTTTTCTTCTATAATATTTTTTTCCCCTATTTTTACATAGTAAATAAATAACAGTCTATTTTAAAAGAATCATCCTATGTATAAAATAATCAATATATATTTAAAATGATCAAAAAAATATATTCTTTTTAGAATTATCGACGAGACATCATACGATACATATAGTAGCTACTCATACAGTTTATTATAACAATAACAAACAAAGTTGTCATAACGAAAATGGTGGTTGTTCTCACGTTTGTCTACCAATAAATTCTAATTCTTTCGTAAGTTTCATTTATACTTTAATCATTTTTATGATAATGAAAATTTAATATTGTTTTATGAAAAATATAATATTGTATATTTATTTAACACTTTGAGTGCCACGCTCATTTTCAAGGAGGTTTCATTTAGGCAACGCTCATTTTTAAGGAATTCCTCGTAGAACGGGAGCTAGCAATATCGGGAAAACAATAATTTCAGATCAGCTGATTTTTTTATATGTCGTTTTTCTTGCTCTTTCGGTTAGAGCCTGAGCTACCTGGCTGGCGGTAGTGGTTGCGTTTAATAGTACGCATCCTACCTGTACAGGTAATAATCCTAGATTTTTAAAAAATTTTAAGAAACCTATTTTCCTATTTATTGATTTTAGATAGGTTTACCAAACATAAATTTTTTATTACCAGACACTTTTATCATTGCTAATTATCTGCCATACGCGACTTTTTTTTTTTTTAATAAAAAATTCAATGTATTTTTTTGTTTGTTGGCGCCAGTTGCGCCACCGTCGCTGTCTATCTCTCTTGCACTCTGAACTGTCTCTCTCTGACTACTAGCATCATACTGCAATACTTTTCATAAGTTTGTCGTTCTTATTCTAGGTTTAACAACTGAATTAACGTTTGGCAAATTAATTTCAGGCTTTTGTATACTCAAATAACATAATATTAAAATTACAGACATAAAAAAATACTTTGAATTTTTTATTAAAAAAAAAAGTCAAAATTGCGTATGGCAGATAATTAGCAATGATAAAGGTGTCTGGTAATAAAAAATTTATGTTTGGTAAACCTATCTAAAGTCAATAAATAGAAAAATAGGCTTCTTAAAATTTTTTTAAAATCTAGGATTATTACCTGTACAGGTAGGATGCGCACTATTAAACGCAATCACTACCGCCAGCCAGGTAGCCCAGGCTCTAACCGAAAGAGCAAGAAGGACGACATACCAAAAACTCAGCTGAACTGAAATTCCCTCTCGAAAACGTTGCTAGCTCCTATACTATCGCAGGCTACGCTTGCCGCTCGACTTGTATTGTAGGGCTATTGTTTCTTATCGCAGTAGAGGATTGTTTACATTTAGAATGAGTTGCATATAGGTATTCTTTTGTTTTCTTTATCGTTTGGTTTGCTAGATAAAATTTTATCGAAATGGATTTGTGGCTGATTTTCCTTTTACAACAAAGAAGTTCATTTGTTTTTGGCCTTGTGCAGACAAAAATTTTCTTTTGATTGACGCAGCCTAATGGAAAGTCTAGTGTCCGCCACTGGTAGCGGAAGTGGCGCTCAAAGTGTTAAACAATTTTTAAAAATTCTTATTCCTAATAATTAATTCTCTCTCTATATATATATATGGGACGAGCGCTTCCATGCCAAACTTATTGGGCATTCGTGAGAAAGGTTGGTCGGTGGGCCCTGGATAGCTTAATTGGTTAAAAGAACAGTCGCCCGGAAAGCGGCGAAATCCGTAGTTCGAGTCCCCCGGTTTAGTCAGTCCAGCGGTCCAATTTTTTTCACGAATCCCACACATGGGGGCTCAGTCGGGATGGAGGGTCTGTTTCGTAACATGTTCCACAGTCTTACAACGCCACGAGAAAAAAAGACGAAAGTTGATGAAAGTTGATGACAAAAGACGAAAGTTGAACACGAAAAGACGAAAGTTGATAACAAAAGACGAAGTTGGCGAAGTTGGTGGCGAAGGACGCCACAAAAAAGAGGAGATGATGTTGGGTGGCATATAATAACATTCGGAGTCGAATGTTGTTAAAGGGGGGGGGGTGAAATGTGGGACGAGCGCCTCCATGCCAAACTTATTGGGCATTCGTGAGAAAGATTGGTCGGTGGGCCCTGGATAGCTTAATTGGTTAAAAGAGCAGTCGCCCGGAAAGCGAAAGATCCGTGGTTTGGGACCCGGTCCAGTCAGTCCAGCGGTCCAATTTTTTTCACAAATCCCACATATTTATATATATAAAAGACCAAAATAGGAGTGTTTGCAAAAAAATGTTCAAAAATAGCACGTGGGTGTTGTTCTTAAAAGAATTTATTACTATATTAACTTTATTTTCCTATATACAACATTTACAAAAACGAACAATCTAATATTACCTGAAAGGAAAAACGACAATTATGTCTATTCCTCATTTTTGACATTCACACTCTTGGTCTGTTAAATCTATCAGTCCTATTTAAGTATTCAATCTGGTCTATGCACGTAAAGTCTTTTTTTTCTTTTGTCTTTCTTTCCTACGCCTTTCCTACTACCTTCTTATTTATAAAAGCGCGCGTAATTCAAACGGAAGAAAGTACACTTTCTTTACATATATATAATTTTTAATTTTTTAATTAAATAATTTATTAATTTAATTGTTATAATTAATATTATATTAATTTATTATTAATTAATATATTAAATTAATACATTAATATATAATTAA